GGATGGATAAGAGTTGGTTGATCTAGGCTGAGCTTAACTGTGATAATTTGGTTCTGTTTCATATTCATACTTTCCCCACAACCATGGACTAATCCAATCATGTTTTATTTCCCCCTATATTTCCATTCACGTTTTTTTGAATGGCAATCTCAGAGACACAAGAAAGAAAGCAAAATCCTATAAGGCCTTGTTAGGAGTCAGCTCAGAGCTAGCACAGCATAACTTCCTTTTTGTTTTATTGGCCAAAGCAAGTCATACAGCAGAACCCAAAGTTGAGGATCAACAAAATTACAAGGTACAGGCATTGATACAGGGAAAGATAAAAAATTTGAATTCTTAGTGCAATCTCTCACATGGCCAAGGACTGAGTCCTGGTGCTTAGGATTTTAACTTAAAAGGTCAAGTTTGAATCTTGTATCTATCTTGCTCCACACATCTGATCGGGGCCAAACATAAAATTTATCCTAGGTACATATATATAATCTTAACCATTGCTCTCCCTTGCCTAAAGGAACTTTATTGAAAGTAAATGGAATGAAAACATTGAGTCCATATTTATAGTTACAAAGCAAGTCTGTGGCAATGTAGTCCAAGATGCCAAAGTGTGCCGTCTATCAGTCCAAAGAGTAAATGTAATAAAACAAAACAAAAAACACCGTAAAGAAGACAATTATAAGGAAATATCCACACCTGAAATTGGAAAAACAAAGTTCATCCTCAACAGTAGTGCCTGATAAGGAACTAACACAAATACATGAAGTCACATCAAATAGAAATCAGAAGTTTAGCCCCAATGCCAGGTTCTAATTTTAAATAGTCCATAACTAGTAATTTTTTCAAGCAGCTAAGATGCAAAATATGTACTTTGCTCAGTTTTTTGGTTGGGAACATATATTTTTTTTTTTACTCTAACAACTATTTCATAAGTATATAATAAAATTTCCAGGCTTTTAAATTTCTTTAGAAGTAAGGACATCAATCTGGAGAACACTTAGAGAACTAAAAATAGACCTGCCATTTGACCCTGCAATTCCTTCATTAGGTATATTCCCAGATGACCAAAAATCGCATTACAACAAAGATATTTGTATCAGAATGTTTATTGTAGCCCAATTCATAATTGCCAAGTCATGGAAGAAGCCCAGGTGCCCATCGATCCACGAATGGATTAACAAACTGGTATATGTACACCATGGAATACTATGCAGCCATAAAGAAAGATGGGGACTTTACGTCCTTCATATTCACATGGATGGAGCTGGAAAATATTCTTCTTAGCAAAGTATCACAAGAATGGAAGAAAAAGTATCCAATGTACACACCCCTATTATGAAACTAATTTATACCTTTTATATGAAAGCTATAACCTAATAACAGCCTAAGAATACGGGGAAGGGGGAGAGACAGGGGAGGGGGGAATGGGTGGAGGGAGGGGGATTGGAGGGATCACTTCTGAGGTTTATCTCACAAGGGTACAAGTGAATCTTTCTAAGAGTAGAATGTGAATGTTTTAAAATAGTGACTAAGAAAATGACACGAAGGCTATGTTAACCAGTTTGATGGAAGTGTTTCAGATTGTGTGTGAAAACCTCACACTGTACCCCAGAAGTACATTAATGTACATAGTTACCATTCAATAAAAAAAAAAAAGAAGAAGAAAGGACATCAAGGGAACAATTCTTGTTAAGCATATAATCTGCTGTTATCAGCTTAGGCTACCAGCCTGGATTTTTGAAAAATAATGAGTCAGATAATATTGTACTATTATTTGTACACTATTTTATATTTTAAGCTGATTTTATTAGATCCAGAGATTTTTGGAGCTCAAGGGGTCTCAGAGATGATAATCATCTAATTTTATAGATAAAGTAAAAGAGACCCAGAGAGGTTAACCTGATTCTTTTGACAATGAAAGAATTGGATCAAATGAGTTATAACCCAGTGGTGGCACTGGGGTTAGTGGGGGATAGTCGGGGGGGGGGCTCCACTTTGACCTCCACTCCATCCGTGCTGTAAGTCTCCTGTCGTCCTCCTTCCTGTCTTCCTCCACTAAATGATCTATTAAAAACTGTGGTACACAAAGCAACCCAAGCTTCTGAACAAGCTCCCTCAAGCACCTCATATTTCTATCTTGCCTGATGTAGAAATCCTAGCGTAGTCACTCTCCACCTTCAGGAATAACCATTCTTCAATATTTGGGGCTAAATGCTGTGTCCCCCACCACCACCAATTCATATGCTGAAACTCTACACCCTAATGTGCTATAAGAGATGAGGTCTTTGGGAGCTAATTAGGGTTAGATGAGGTCATAAGGGTGGGGCCCTCCAGAAGGAGATTAATATCTTTATGAGTGCTGAGTGCCAAGAAAGCTTACTTTCTCTGTCTCCATCATGTGAGGATACAAGAAGTCAGCAATCTGCAACCTGGGAAATGGCCCTCACCATGCTAGTGCTCTGATATTGGGCTTTCAGCCTGTGTAAGAAGTAAATTTCTGTTTATAAACCACCCAGTCTATGATATTTTGTTACAGCAGCTTGAAAGGACTAAGACATTCACCATGGGCCTTGATATTTATGGGCCTTGAACAACAGGGTTGTTGGCATGCTGTTATTTCTTTTATTCCCTTTATTTTATTTTTATTTATTTATTTCTTTTTTGAGACAGTCTCACTATGTCACCCTCGGTAGAGTGCTATGGTGTCACAGCTCACAGCAACCTCAAACTCTTGGGCTTAAGCAATTCTCTTGCCTCAGCCTTCCGAGTAGCTGGGACTACAGGTGGCCACCACAATGCCCAACTATTTTTTATTTTTGGTTGCAGTTGTCATTGTTGTTAGCAGGCCCTGGGCCAGGTTCAAACCTGCCAGCCTTGATGCATATGGCTGGCGCCCTATTTGCTGAGCCCCTTTATTTTATTTTCATGTGTCTCTCTCTACCTGGCTTGCATTTAGGGCCAGATTTTGGAGACAGTGTTTATGTACATCTGTGGAAAACAATACATCTCTTCTTCCCTGTAGGCACTAACTAGCTGGCCTATTTAAGCTTAATTTCTTCTTGGGAATTAGCTAATTACTCTTTGTGGGCCAGTGTCTTTTCCAGCAACAGCAACTCAGGACCTTCCAAAATCATTTCTGGGACTGAATGTGGTGCTTTTCCCTCTTTTATCTTAGAGTACCTTGTGAAGTTCAGGAAATGATTATTTTGTGTCCTTGCTCTCAAAGAATATCTAAAACTTAACATGGTCTAATTCAGTTTCACAATAATGTTGTCAAAGATAAATAAATGCAGACAGTTAATGTGATAAGGACAGACTGTAATCAGCAAAATACTATTGCAATATGGATAGGGCGACCAGATTTCAACATTGGTAAAGCGGGTCAACAAGATGGGGTGGGGGCTGGGGGCAGGGGAGGGGCAGGGCAGGGCCTGACAACAATGCAAACTTTGATAAGCAGTTCTCGATAATCATTTCTCAGCCATTATTTGTTATTATTACAGTTTAACATAAAATTAACAAAAATAATATAAAACTCATATCCTGGCGAAATAGCCACATGGCAGCCTAAAACCGTATATTCCCTCCCTGTTCTCCTGCCAGTTCGTGCATTCTTTCCAAAAATCAGGACTTTTTAAAAATGCTGCAGGACTGTCCTGCCAAAAGTGGGACGTCTGGTCACCCTAAATATGGACAAGGTCCAGTGTGAAATGAACTCAACTTCAATTTATACAGAAGTGACTGGGCATTTTGAAGGGAGAATGAAGGAGAAAGAGAAGGGGATGAGTGGAGCCTCAGTAGAGTCAGGGAAGTAAAAAATTACAAAGGGATAGTTAGTGTAAATACAATTAAGTCAGCCTGTGTCTGTTAGCTGCCCTCCCTCAGAGACCGGGGGTATAGAGGTCCTTTCCTTCTTGCTGACAAAGTTTTTAAGGAATGGCCTTCAGGTTCTAAAGAAAGACACTCCTTTTTTTTTTTTTTTTTTGCCATTTTTGGCTGGGGCTGGGATTGAACTGCCACCTCCAGCAGTATGAGATCGGTGCCCTACCCTTTTGAGCCACAGGCGCTGCCCAGAAAGACACTCTTGTGTTGAAGATATAGACACACCTCAAAGGAACAGAAGGATCCACAACTGTGACCCCTATGTTTGATGGTAAATGCTCCAAGAAAGGGAGGGTCAGACCAATTTTATGGAGTTGGTTACAACAAAGAGTAAATTCTTTCCACAGCCTTAAGCTTTCTCAGACAAGCACACTGAAAGGTTTGGGTTATTCTGTGGATGCGATTGTGAGCTGTTAGAAACTACTTGGTGTTTAAGTCTTTTTAATGTGTGGGTAGAGGGTCAGACAAAAGTTATTTGTGTTGAGTGTATAATTTTTCCAAGCCAAAGTTGAGGCCTGATGAAGGAGAAGATTCAGAGGCTCCTGGCTGGAGTTTGGTCAAGGAAGAAATATTACTTGTGAGACATACTATTTTATTTTAATTTTAAAAATTTATTTGTCAAACCCCTTGTTCCTTCATCTGTAAAATGGGAATATTAACATCTCATACACTCTTAGGAGCATCTAACAACACTGTCCAAGACAAATATAGAATAAATCTCATGTCATTTTCAATGTCTTCATAGCCATTTTAAACCAAAAAGGTCAAAATAAACAGGAAAAGCTAATATTGGTAGTATATCTTATTCACCCCAATATATTTAAAATACAATCATTTCAACATGCGATCAACATTAAAAAATTACTGGGGATATTTTGTATCCTTGTTTTCGTTCTAAGTCTTTGAAATCCAGGGTTTATTTCAGACTTGCTGCACTTCTCAATTAGCACCAGCCACTTCTCAGCCTTCCAATGGCCACCCGCGCCTACAGAGTAGGACAGCAGCAGTTTAGGGTGGGCGGGTCATAGCTGGAAGGGGCGGAGCTCCTCGGAGAGTGCCTTTTGGGCCCCAGCGGCTGCCGTAGGAAAGCGCCGGCTGTGGCGGCGCCACGTCCTCTGCGGCGGTGGCGGCGGCGGCGGCGGCGAGAGAGGACTTGGGGAGTTAAGCTTTGGGCAGCTCCGGACAACCATGGCCTTCACCCTCTACTCCCTGCTGCAGGCAGCCCTACTCTGCGTCAATGCCATCGCCGTGCTGCACGAGGAGCGATTCCTCAAGAACAGTGAGTGGGGGTCCCGGGGCGCGGGCTGAGCCGCCGGGAGCGGGGAGCCAAACCGAGTGAGGGGACAACCTGGGCGGGGACAGACGAACGGCTGAGGGTTTGTTTCCGAGTGAGGAGGGGGGCACTTCCTTAGACGGGAAGCTGAGTCCTCTCCCCAGCTTTGTACTCAACTGCGGTTGAACGTTCAACAGAAGACCACTGGGTGCAGGGCCCTGGGGGCCAGTGTGGGGCAGTACGGAGGTGACCCAGGGACGCTCCTGCCTGCCATTAGGTTAGGTTAGGTCAATAACTTAGTTATATTTTTCTCGTGACTGCTTTTACAGATCGAAAACCCGGGGTTTGAGCTTTGAGTTAAACAGTTGGGGGGCGTGGCTCATTTTGGAGCACTAGTAGTTAGAAGAGTGAACTTAGTGGAGGCCTATAATGGTTCCGGACTTTGGAGATAGTATGAAAGGGGAAGTGTTGGCGTTATCGGGACATCTAGCTATCCAGGTTCCAAGAAAAGTATATTCAGACAGCTTATTGGGTGTCTACAATGTGCTAGAATCTCAGAATACAGAAATGAAGACACAACGACGCCTATCAGGACCTCACAATCCAGCGATCTTCGTTCCTTTCCAGGCGAGCTGATTTTTGCTGTGTGAGGCAAAATTAAGGCACAGTACTGCATGATATGAATCATTTGTCACAGCATATCAAACATGTTTCTGTGAATCACTGAAACTCAAACCCACAAGCAAGAGTGATTCATTTTATTGATTACTTAGAGATTACTGAGCACCAATTATATGCCAGGCCCATACATTCGTGACAGCAGTCTCCTGCCCTTCTCATTGAAGTTAATCTAAATAAAAACTGAACAAATAACAAGTATGCAGAATATATGAAAGAGAAATCAGGGAGATATAGCCTGTGAATCTGCAAAAGCTTTATGGAAGAAGTGTGTCTTATTTGAAATTTGATAAGTGAGTAAACATTAACTAGGTGAAAATGAAAGGTTAGAAGTTGGAAGGTTAAGGATCTTGCAAATCCTTAAACAGTGGGCCTTAAATAGCATAGAACTGGTGGGAAAACTCTGAGGCAACTGAAAACATCATAAGCAAGGCAATGACATGATCAGATTTGTGCTATTTACAAGATCCTTCTGGAGAACATATCACAGAAGAGAGAGGAGTGGGTGTGGGAAGAACTGTTCTAAATAAGGCAAGTAGAGTTAGTTAGGTTCAAAAACAGTAGTAATAACTAATAATGTAGCACTTATCAAGTGCCTTACATATATTAACTCATGTAATCCTCATGGCAAACCTGTGAGATAGGTACATTTCTTTTTTTTTTTTTTTTTTTTTTTTGTGGAGCCTCAAGCCATGGCATCACAGCTCACAGCAACCTCCAACTCCTGGGCTCAAGCGAGTCTCCTGCCTCAGCCTCCCAAGTAGCTGGGACTACAGGCACCTGCCACAAAGCCCAGCCATTTTTTGGTTGCAGCCATCATTGTTGTTTGGCAGACCTGGGCTGGGGATTCGAACCTGCCACCTTAGGTTTATGTGGCTGGCGCCTTAGCCGCTTGAGCCACAGGCGCCGAGCCGATAGGTACATTTCAGTGGGGAACCAGAAATACAGAGACAGTAGGTACATAGGTAGCTTTTGTAAGATCACACAGATAGAAAGTGGTAGAGCTAGGATTCAAACTTAGTCTGACTCCAGAGTCTCTTCACCACGATATTATACAGAAAAAATAAGGAATTTTGTGAGTTGAATTTTGTCCCCCAAAAGTTTGGTTGAGGTACTCAAATGTGACCTTATTTGGAGGCAGAATCTTTGCAGATACAAAGTTAAGATTAGGTCATACTAAATTAAGTTGGGCCCTCATAAGAAGAGAGAGATACAGAGACACATGAATGGACACAGAAGAATTATGTGACAGCTGAGGCAGAGATTGGACTGATGCAGCTATAAGCCAAGGAATAAGGATTTTCAGCAACTATCATATGTTAGGAGAGAGGCATGGACAAGATTATTCCTCAGAGCCCCAGAAGAAACCAGCCCTCTCACACTTTGATTTCAGACTTTTGCTCTCCAGAATTAAGAGAAAATTTCCATGTGGTAAGCCACTTGGTTGGTGGTACTTTGGCATAGCAGCCCTAGGAAGCTAATATTGATCAGAAGATATTTTAAAAGTAGGAAAGGTAGATCTTACTGTTGAACATTGGGAATGAAAGATAAAGTCGAAGATATCTTGGTTCTCTGCCTTAAGCCATTGAGTAAAAGGATAGTACCTTTACTGAGTTAGAGAGTATTAAAGGAAAATTAGGGGTGATGGTGGGAGACAAGGAGGTAAAGAGATAAGTTTTGGATATTCTGAGTTTGAGAGATCTTTGAGATATACAAGTGCAGATGTAAAATAGTCAATTGGGTTAAAGTCCTTAGAAGCACAAACCAGGGTGGAGACTGAAATTTGAATTTGTCAAGCATAGATGAGAAATGAAGCCATGTGAGATGGAATTACTCAGGGAAAGAGTAGAGTACAATAAGAACTGGTGTCTGGCGCAGTCCTAGAATCCTCTCCAGTATTTTATGTTTAGGTAGAGATGGAAGAGCTGACAGGCAGGAGAACTTGATAAGTGAGCAAAACAGAGAGAAACAGAAACATACGTTGTGAGTTTTAACGAAGGTCAAGGGTGTTCAAAGAAGGAGGATAGTACAATAGTGGGCTGTTGCTCAGACGCTAAGTACAGCAGTCTCCCCTTTATACATGATTTGGTTTCTGAGTTTCAATTAATTACCTATAGTTACCTGTGGTCTGAAAATAATAAATGCAAAATTTAGAAATAATTCATAAGAAATTATAAGCTGTTCTAAGTAGCTTGATGAAAATCTTGCACTGTAGACATGAACCCTCACTTTGTCTGTGTACCCATGTTGTATATACCATTCATCTGTTAGTCACTTCATAGCCATTTCAGTTATCAGAATAAAAAATATATATATCTAGGGTTTGGTACTATCCATTACTTAAGGCATCCCCTAGGGCAAGGATGTCCAACTTTCTGGCTTCTCTGGGCCACATTAGGAGAATAAAAGTTGTCTTTGGCCACTCATTAAATAGTTAAACACTGACAAGAGCCAATGACCAAAAGAAGGTCCATGCATAATTTTCGTGATATCCACCACCACGGATAAGCAAAAAGTCCTCACATAATAATTCTAATTATGCAGTGGCCTGTTCAGAGAGTCTTTTAGATTTTTTTTTTTTAAACAGAGCCTCAACCTGTCACCCTGGGTAGAGTGCCATAGCGTCACAGCTCCCCGCAACCTCCAACTCTTGGGCTTAAGTGATTCTCTTGCCTCAGCCTCCCAAGTAGCTGGGACTACAGGTGCCTGCCACAACACCCGGCTATTTTTCTTTTTCAGAGAGTCTTTTAAAGTCACTGGACAGGTCCCAAGTTTGTGATCACTAAATATAGAAAATGTACATATCTAAGTAATAAAATGTCTGGTTTTTTGGATATTTTTTATTATAAAAGTGGGCAGCATAAAACTAGTAGAATATTTTACATTGTATTTGAGTAATTAATACTTTTATTAATGTGCTTCATTCTTGAAAATAGTTGCTCACAAATGTAGGTGCTGACAAAAAGTGATGACATGAATAAGCTGTGATTGTAAAGTGAGGGATATTTGTCTCTAGGAAGATAGGACCTCTAAAGGTCCAGTAACGAGACATGATCAAATTTTTAAGTTGAATGTCAGATTGCAGTTCTATGCATACCATTTGAAAATTGATAGGTAATATATTTATGTCTAAAGAAAATAGAGTTACAGGCTTAGGGCCTATAGCTCAGTGGCTAGGGTGCCAGCCACATACACCGAGGGTGGTGGGTTCGAATCCAGCCCGGGCCTGCCAAACAACAATGACAACTATAACAAAAAAATTGCTGGGCATTGTAGTGGGTGCTTGTAGTCCCAGCTACTTGGGAGGCTGAGGCTAGAGAATCACTTAAGCCCAAGAGTTTGAGGTTGCTGTGAGCTGTGACACCATGGCACTCTACCGAGGGCGACATAGTGAGACTCTGTCTCAAAAAAAAAAAAGAAAGAAAAGAAAAAGAAAATAGAGTTGCAAATGCACCAAAATACTGATTATTCCTAGGAAATCAAGAAATCTGTTTTCAAATTCTTGCATCAAATCAAAAAGCAAGGCTGCATATTTTTCGCTGTTCACAGGATTGTGTTTAGCCAACATATGGAAATGCATAAAATTGTTTGCTTTAATTTGGGCTTGCCATAATTTTGGTTTCATTTGAAATGCTTTTATGGTTTGAAACATTGTATTGATAAGTTGGTTTTCACCTCGAAATACATGTTTAACTGATTTAACCAAGTAGTTAAATCTACAAAAAAATGCTAAATCTGTAAGCCAGTTTTCATTGTCACGTTTTGGCACAAATTTGGTTTCTGATACCAAAACAGCATGTCACAAATCATAAAATCTTTTCAGCATTTGGCCTTGACTTTCAAAAAGTAAATGAAGTCACCATAGTCAACATTAATACTTCTAAGGAATTCCTGGAATTGATATGATTCAATCCCTTAACACCTATGAAATTCATAGTCAATGAAGATTTGCATGATGTTATCCATTTTTAAAGCTTTTGCATATAAATTTTCTTGATATACTATGCAGTGACATTTCATTAAATGTGAGTTTTGGGTGGCAATTTTATAGCCTTCTATTAATTTTACAAGTCCCTCTTTTTACCTGCCATTGCTGGGGCACCTTCAGTAACTATACCAGATATGTGGACAGTGGACAAAGAAAATTGCTTTAACATATTTTTTACTGCTTTGTATAAGTCTCTTGATTCTGTTGTACCTTTTAATGGCACCGAAGAAGCCATTTTGTCAGTGACATTATATTCATCATGAACACCTCTAATGAAAATGGCAAATTGAGCTGTATTTGTAGCATCAGTGCTGCCATCCATTGCCAAAGCATAAAATAT